AATCAGACCCTGCCTCCGGGACAGAGCACTCGACCCTTCCGGCGCACCCCACGTCCCAGAGCCCTGCGGAGGTGGACATGGCCCATGGCCCTGGGGGACGCTCCCCTGGAGAGACGTCTGTACCCAGGACGTCCTCCCAGGCTACGCCCCTGGCTGACGGCTCTGAAGCGGAGCCCCCCGGGACCACCTCAGGGCCAGGGGAGCCCAGGAGGCCTTCGGGCCTGGAGGGGCCACCCCCGCCCCGGCGCAGGCCTGAGAAGAGGGCCCTGGACTTGCGCCTCCTCTCCCAGGAGGGCGAGGCAGCTGTGCGGGAGTGGCTGAGGGGGCAGCGGGGGGTACGTGTGCCCCCCCTGGGCAGCAGGCTGTCCTACCAGCCTCCCACGCTGTGCAGCCTGCGGACACTGTCTGGCCTCCTGCTCCGCAAGAAGGCCTTGGAGCACAGAGCCGCCTCCCTGGTGCCCAGCGGGGCAGCCGGAGCCCTGCAGGCCTCGCTGGGGCGCGTGCGCGAGCAGCTCCGGGACAGCCCGGCCTACCTGCTGCTGCGGGTGCGCTTCCTGGCGGCCTTCGCCCTCCCCGCGCTCCTGGCCACCCTGTCCCCCCGCGGCGTGCCCACCACCCTGTCAGTAGCCATGAGGTCCAGCCCCGAGAGCGACAGTGATGACAGCAGCCCGGGTCAGCCAGAGCTTGTGGCCGGGCAGCCGGGGGACCCAGCCAGCGGTGCGCAGGCGGCCGCCATGCCTGCTCAGGTAGGTGGTTGCAGGTGTGGAGCCCTCGCCCCCTTCCCCACGCCCGTCCACATCCCCCGGGGCGCCTCACCCCCTCTGGGTGTCGGCCCCCGCCCGGAGCACGGGGGGGTGGGAACAGGGGGAGGTCACGGCAGGGGGGCCAGCGGCTGGTTTCTGCAGAGGAAGAGGCCGCTCTGTGCACCCCACACACGCGGACTCCGGCGGCAGGAACCTCACTGCCGGCATGGGGGTCCCGCCACCCAGGCCTCGTCCACAGGAGTCTCCATGCCCCCCACGCGTGCACACGCTCACACACGCACACCCCTGGGGGGCTGTCTGTGCGCCTGCACTTTGTGGGGGTCCGTCCAGTTGCCGACTCCAGCACGTCCACGTGCAGAGTTCTCTAAGCTGTGGAAGCAAAACCACCGTAACTGTTACCTGACAAGAAACCCGCCGCACACACGTGTGAAGGTGTCCCCTGACCCGTGCACCCAGGGAGCCCCTAGTCCCTGTTGCCTGGGCTGAGCAGGAGAGCCGGGTCGCCTCAGGACAGGGAGGGCCCTGAGGTCCCTGGCAGGTGGTGTCCGGCGAGCAGGTGGTGACCCCCCAGAGCATCCCCAGAAGCAGTCCCTCGCCTTCTCGCAGGGTGGCCTCGCTGCTGGCCTGGTCGATCCTGGGGCCGCCCTTATGTGTTGCCGGGGCCGGGGAGGTGGGGTTGTCGCTGAGCTGTGCCAGTCCCACCTGCCCGCGGCCCGGCCCGGCCCCCCTCCTTCCCAGGAGCACGGCCTTAGGAGTCCGGGGGGGCTTCTGGACTGAAGCAAAGGCAAAACACTGCTGGGCCCTAAATAGGTGTTGAGGGCAAAAGGCTCGCTGTCCCCCACAGTGTGTGCAGCCTTCCGTGGTCCTCCATCCCTGCCCGGCCAGCCCAGTTTGGGGGAACCGTGGCATAGATGGCTGGCTCTAGGGGGGCTGCTCAGAGGGGATTGGAGCCCCCGAGTGAGAGAGGGGTCAGCGGAAAGCCAGAGCCCGCATGTGACCCCAGGAAGGCAGCACCTCCTGTCCCATCTCGGCGGGGACAAGTCCAAGGAGCTACCTGTCCCTTGCCGCCACCCCCTCCCCTGCCCATCCTGGCTGGAGAGTCACTTTTTCTCTGCCTGGACTTAGTTTCAGGGATCGCCACACCCCGGACAGGCCTCTGCCCCCTCCTGCCCGGACAGTCCCGATGAGCTTGACGTGCTCCAGACACGGCACGCCCGGCATGCCCGGAAGCGGAGGAGGCTGGAGTGAGCGGCAGGGTGAGGGACCCGGGTCCTCCCTCAGCTTTGCGCCGGGCACACGGGGCCTCAGGAGCTCATCTCAGCTTCTTGTTGTCACGCGGGGTGGGGTGTGGTATAACCAGGCCACTGCGGGCCGGGTCTCGGAGACCCTCCCCTCCCTCACTCTTCCCTCTGCCACTGGGTTCCGCACCCCAGCCTCTGCTGCTTCCCTCCTGCCGGCCCACGTGTGCCTTGGGGCCTTGGCACTTCTGTCCTCTCTGCTTGGGACTCTTCTCCCCGTCTGTCTGCAAGGCTGTCACCTCTCTATCCGGGTCTCTGCTCGGTGGTCAGCTCCTCAGAGACGCCCTCCCCAACCGTCCTAAGGTGGCATCGCTGTCCCAGTGCCCGTCTGTCCTTGTGGCGCTTGCCCGTCCCTGACGCCTGACGTGGTCCATCCATGTATCTGTCTGTTGTCTCCCCTGAACGTGAGCCCGTAGGGCAAGCATGGGGTCCCCAGTGCCCAGACAGCAGGCACCAGATAGGCCCAGCATGGTCGGTTTTCACACGCCGAGACCCGGGTCGGGGGGTTGTCGCAGAGGCAGGAGCTGGGTCCTTCAGCACAGCGCGGGCTGCGCTGTGGGAGGTTCTGGGTCCTGGGCTAGATGGCTAGAGCCGGAGCAGGAGTTCTGGGTGGGTGGGGGACCGCAGAGGGGATGCCTGGGGTGGGCCTGCTTAGAGCCCACTCAGGCTCCAGGGCCAGTCCTCCGCACGGCCCGCTCCGCGGACCGCAGCGGGGCAGCCAGGCCTCACTCCAGCCCGCCCTGCCCCACGAGGCAGAGTGCTGTCCCTCTGCGTTCCCATCCGCGGGGTCCGGCTGGGGTCAGGGCCCCCTGCCATCGGGGTGATCTTGTGTTCCAGGACTTCCCAGGGCCGGACAGCCACTGCTGCTGCCGACAGGAGGTGGGGCTCGTGCTGGACCCAGCGAGCCTGCCCACCCCGGGAGGCCGGCACCCAGCCCGCGGCAGAAGGGCTCTGCCAACAGCGGCCGCGTCGTGATGGGCTCGGCTGGTCCCCGAGTGCAAACCATGATATCGGGAGGAATGAAGAAATGTCCTGTTTTTTAATTAAAAGCAAGCCACGTGCTTTTGGTGGTCTCGTCCTGAGGTACTGGGCGGTGTGCAGAGGGACTGGGCCACCCCTGGAAGTGTGGGGAGTGCGCCAGCTGGGCTCTGGGGTCCACGGAGCCCCTGCACGCTTGGCCTCTAGGGGCCTGTGGAGGGGGAGAAACAGAGCGTTACCCATCTCACGAGAAACACTTGTGGCTCTGGCCTTCAGGCTGGGGGCTGCTCCAAGCGGAAGGGCAGCCCAGCGCCCACCCGGGTGCCGCCGCAGGCATGGGGCGGGCCCACTTCTGCCATCCAGACCACACAGGCCGACCCAGGCGGGTCCCCAGAACTAGCGGCAGCCTGAGTACCCACAGCCCCCACGGCAGCCCCGGGCCAGTGCCCTTTTGATTCTGTGCAGGCGTTTCTTTGGCAGGAGGCCGAACCCCCGCGGCCTCTCTGTCCCTCCGGCCTAAAGAAGCGCGGGTGTGGGGGTTCGGTTACACCTCCGAGACACTGGCTTTCCTGGAGCTTTGTTCCTGCACGCTGCTCCCCTTTGCTTTCACCTTATTAGGGAAATTTTCCAACACAGAGAAATGGGACAAGTGTGCCCAGCGTGTGTCCTGCCCCCCCAGACAGCAATCACTTGGGGTCACCTGTCTCCCCTTTGCCCGCACCCAGACACCCCACGTCACGTCACACAGCCACAGGCTGACTCGCCACGTGGGTGTGTGTGTTTCACTTTGTGCCTCTGGTACTGGGCTCACCAGTTCCAGGTTTCCTTGTGATCTCCTCTGGGCTGTGGGTTATTTAAGATGATGGTTATTTAATTCCCAGACACTTAGTGATTTTCCCGATGTCCTCCTGTTACCGATTTCTAGTTTGATTCTGACGTGGTCAGAGAACGTAGCGTTGTTATTATTTAATTCATAAACACACCATGAGGAAGACTCCTTCCTTAGTCTCATGTCATGAAACAGGAAACACTGGGTCACGGAGGGCCCGGCACCGGCCCTCTGCCTGCTGGGTGCGCAGAGCCGCAGCTCCTGCCACTCCTGTACCAGGACTTCCCCCCAAGACCCTCCAGTCCGGGGCAGGATCCCCCAGAACACGGCTCCCCTAGGGGGCTAGGGGCCTGCCTGTGCCTGGAGGGTCATGCCTGGAGGGTGACCTCGGGCCTCCTGGAGGCCTGCGGGGAGGCCCGGCCACTCAGCAGCGCCTGGTGGTGCCAGGATTCCTGGGGTTTAGCCTACTGACCACCATGGGCCCAGGAGGCAGAGAAAAACCCTGGGGCTGAGGGGCTCAGGACCTTACAGGAAGGGAGCCAGCAGTGCTGGTCAGGCCCCTGCCCACCCAGCCGCAGCCCCTTCCCGGAGCTGTTGCTCAACCTGGCAGGTGGCAGCTCTCTCAGTTCAACCAGTGAGGCCACTCTGGTGGGGCGGTGGCCTGGGGATTCCCGTGGGGCCCTGCTGTCGCTGTCCCGTGTGTCCTGGTGGGGAGGGGCTGCTCCCAGGAAGGGAGAGGCTGAGCCAGCTGCACCATGGGCTGGGGGTTAGGCTTAGGGCCTGCAGCCCCGCCCCCCCCGCCAGCCCCATGCTCTCTGGACACCACGCTGCAGTCCTTATGGAACCAGAATGGACGGGACGGTGGCTTGGCCTCGTCCAACACTGGCAGAGCCACGGCTTGCGCTCCCACTCTGCAGGGTCGGGGCTGGGCCTCCAGGGCAGGCTCCGGGGCCCTGGCACTGGGCTGGCCGGCGGGGAGGCGCCCGGGGGGGGGGCGCGGCACGGGGGGCTCCAAGCAGGAGCCGCTTTCCTCGGGAGCCGGCAGCTTCCACTTTCCTGTCCCCGCCTCCTGGGGCCGCCCTGCTTGGGCGAATCAGAAGGCAGCGCGGAGATGGTCCCCTGCGGGAGGAGAGCCGGGCCTCTGTGGGGTTAAGCGGACCCATCAGGAAGTGCACGGCTTTCCTCTGGCCCCACCCGCCCTCTGTCCCGGCAGCCCGGCAGTCCTGCCACACACTGAATCGGGCGGCCCAGGCTGACCGGTGTCCGGCTAGGTGCCCCAGGAGGACCCCGAGGTAGGCCGGCCTGGTGCCCTTGCTTCAGATGGTTGGGAAGCCGCTGTGGCCCAGCTCAGGCTTGGGGCAGGGAGCAGGGTCTGGAGTAAATACCCCAGGAGGGCATCAGGTGGCCTCGCTCTGCTGCCCTGTCCCCTTCACAGCCACCCGGTACCTGCTGGTCGTTTCACTGGAATTAGCAGCAGGGCATTGTCAGGTGTGGGACGCGTGGACATCAGGCTAGGAAGGCGGGGACCGGGCCAGACACTCCAAAGACCCCAAGTTGCTGGTGTTTTCATTCAATGCTTTGTCTGTTGCTGGGTGGGCGGGCTGACAGGGCAGCGCGAACCTGCTGCCAGCCGCGTCTCTAGGAGGGTGGCCCAGTCCCTTTGGGCTGGAAGCCGGTGTTTCCCACACAGGTCAAAGGCTCAGCCTGCGACGGCGGGGTCAGGGTCTCCGTCCCCACCGCTGGGAGGAGGCCACCACATGGCTGCTCCCGGCTCAGCCTGGCCCTGGAGAGAGTGGTTCCCCCACTGGTAGTGTAGAAGGGAATAGCGGCGGGCGGTTCCAGCGTAGGTGGTCCCCTGTCGGAGAGCTGGCCTGACAGTCCCCAAGAGTGCGGCCAAGAGCAGGCCTCGCCTGGGAGGTAGACAGGAGGAGCCTGGACGGCTGGTGTTCCAGAGGCTGGAGGAGGCACGGAGCTGCGTTCCAGGCCAGCCCCGGGCGACACAACCACCCCTCCCAGTGCGCCCGGGCCCCTGGCTCTCCCTCCACCGTGGGCCGTCCACAGTCATCCTTCCTGGAGGGCACCCTGTCACCGAGCCTGACCCGGAGCAGGCCGGCCCGGAAGCTGCTAGGTGACTGTTGCGTCACCAGCTGCGGAAGGAGAGGAGGAGATGGGAGTGGATGTGAGCAGGCACTGCCCCGCGAGGAAGGAGGCAGTCCCGCCACCACAGCCTGGCACCTCGGGGGCTGGGGCTGGGATCCCTCCCCCGTGTGCCAGGGAGGTTGTGCTGGTAGGTGGCGCAAACAGCTCCGTGGGTAGGGGGCAGCCTCCCGCCTGCCCCGCAGCACTTTGGGGTGCTCTGGGGGGACAGGGCCAAAGGAGGTCCGTAGTGCAGGGGAGCGTGTTCTCCTAGATGCCACCTGACCCTGGAGCATCTCCACGCCGTTCCCCATGCTTATTGGGGTGACCCAGGGAGAGAAAAAGCCCAGGGCGGCCAGAGGGGCGGGAGCAGGGCCGTGAAGGGCGATGCCGGGAGAGCCGATGGGAGGGAGCGGGGGCTTCTCCCTCTCTTGGTGGCCCCTCTCCTGGACGCCCCTGGGCTGGGTTCCTGGTCTGGCTCTGCCCAGAGCCCTGGCGGGCGAGGCACAGGCCTGACTCCCGGCAATGCCTGCTGCTCAGCCACGGCATCCCTCCCAGCCGCCTGCCCCGACTACGCCATGTCCGACTACGAGAACGAGGACGAGTGCTGGAGCGCCCTGGAGGGCTTCCGTGTGAAGCTCATCTCCATCATCGACCCCGCCCGCATCACGCCCTACCTGCGCCAGTGCAAGGTCCTGAACCCCGATGACGAAGAGCAGGTGCTCAGCGACCCCAGCCTGGTCATCCGCAAGCGAAAAGTGGGTCAGTGCCCATCCCCCACCCCGTCCCCCGGAGGCCCCCCGCCCCGTCTGCCCGCAGCTGTGGTGCTTCACACACAGCTGAGGCCCTGGGAGAGCCGTCCAGACCCCAGCCACTGCAGCCTCTTGGGGTTCTGCAGCCTTGCGTGCCCACACGTGTCCTCTGGGTCGCAGGAGTGCTCCTGGACATCCTGCAGCGGACTGGCCACAAGGGCTACGTGGCGTTCCTAGAGAGCCTGGAGCTCTACTACCCGCAGCTGTACAGGAAGGTCACGGGCAAAGAGCCCACCCGCGTCTTCTCCATGATCATCGGTGAGGAACGGGACACGGGCCTGGAGGCACAGGGCCCGGATGGAGGGGCGGGGGATGGTGTGGGTTACAGCCGGCGGCCCCCTCCCCACCTGGTCCCCTCATGGATAAATCGCGTATGAAAGGAAGGGAGCGAGCCATGTGTGGGAAGGGTGCCAGCTTTGGGCCCGGTCTGAGTGTCACTCCCATCCCGCTCTCCTCCTAACGCTCGTGGAGGGAGCAGAGGCTGGAGGAAAGGGGGACCCGAACTCCGGAATGGGGAGCAGGTGGGAGGTGGGGTGCACAGGCTGATTCTTGGCTCAGAGCCCCTCCTGCCCAGAAGATCATGTGACCCCGCTAAAGCCATGCCCGAGAGGCCAGGCCTGCTCGCCCCAGCAGCCTGTGAGGCGGCCCCGAGGCGCGTCCCCTGCCTCTCAATCAGGATTAGACAAAGAGGGATGGATACCCAGGCCCTGGGCTGCCCTGCCCTGCCCTGCCCTGCCCTGGGAGTGGGGGGTGGCGACAGGGCTGGGAGGTGAGTTCACCTCCGGGACGGGGGGCAGCCGCAACTGGGAACTGACCCCTTGGCCGGGCTCCCCTGGAGCCGCTGGTCCTCAAGCGGAGGCCGGGGAGGGGCCAGGTGTACCACGCGTTGTGTGACGCCCTCTTGGTTCGCAGACGCATCCGGGGAGTCGGGCCTGATGCAGCTGCTGATGAGCGAGGTGATGAAGCTGCAGAAGAAGGTGCAGGACCTGACGGCACGGCTGGGCTCCAAGGATGACCTCGTGAAGGAGCTGAGGGTGAAGGACAGCCTGCTGCGCCAGCACCGGGAGCGCGTGCAGAGGCTCAAGGAGGCCTGCGAGGTGGGCGGCCGCGAGCTCCAGCGCTGCAAGGACGAGAACTACGACCTGGCCCTGCGCCTGGCCCGGCAGAGCGAGGAGCGGGGCGCCGCGCTCATGCGCAACCGCGACCTGCAGCTGGAGGTGCCCTGCGCGGCGGGGCTCCTGGGGTGGGCGGCGGGCGCCGGGGTCCTGGGCTGGTGCTGACAGCCGGTCCCGCAGATCGACAGGCTCAAGCACAGTCTCATGAAGGCAGAGGACGAGTGCTCGGTGGAGCGCAGGCACACACTGAAGCTCAAGCACGCCATGGAGCAGCGGCCCAGCCACGAGCTGCTGTGGGAGCTGCAGCAGGAGAAGGCGCTGCTGCAGGCGCGGGTGCAGGAGCTGCAGGCCTCCGTCCAGGTGGGGCCCCGGGGGCCGAGCCGGCGGGGCGGGCGCCGGGGGGCCGGCCTGGGCCTCCCAGCCCCGCTGTGCTGCCGCCCTCTCCCTTCGCACCCACAGGAGGGGAAGCCAGACCAGAGCAGCCCCTACATCCAGGTGCTGGAGGAGGATTGGCGGCAGGCGCAGAGGGACCTCCAGGAACAGACCGCCACCATCTTCTCCCTGCGCAAGGACCTGCGCCAGGCTGAGGCCCTGCGCGCCCGGGTACGCAGCGGGCAGGTGGGGGGTGCACCCTGGGCCGACTGAGCGGGGCTCCACGTCCCTCCTTCCCCCCGCCTGGAGGCGAGGACCGGCCTTCCACCTCATCTGGCGCCCGCGCTCCCCGGGCACGTCGGGGCCCAGCTTCGGTCTGGAGCTCTGGGCCGGCGGGGCCACAGGCGGTTCGGCTGACTGCCGTCTCCCGCAGTGCACGGAGGAGAAGGAGATGTTCGAGCTGCAGTGCCTGGCCCTGCGGAAGGACTCCAAGATGTACAAGGACCGCATCGAGGCCATCCTGCAGCAGATGGAGGAGGTCGCCATCGAGCGGGACCAGGTAGGGGCCGCGCAGCCCTCCCCGGACGCAGTGGCCTCTCAGGGATGCAGTTGTCACGGTGGTTTTTCAGGGAGCACGGACAAAAGCAGTTCATGCTCGTTTAGAAACGTGAACGCTAATGAGTTAATCCCCTTCCTCCACCTCTGCCCCACCTGCTGCCAGGAAGTCCACGCTCCACCTTCTGCTGTACCTGCCAGCCTTTTTTCAGCGTACTTGTAGTTTCATTTTTGTTTTATAAGAGTGGAAGCTTTCTGACTCGTTTTGCAAAGACTTCTTTCGCTTAAAATGCCACGGGCGCCTTGGCCGGCTGCACTCTTCTGGGTGGGGAGGCGGCGCCCCAGCTCAGGGCTGCACCTGCTTCTTCGTGTCCCATCACTTTCCTGTCGCGGCTCGGGGTCGTTTCTGATCAGCTACAGCTGTCGCCTCAGTCACTTTCTGGAGAGTGATTGGCAGTCTGTATCAGGAGCCTGAAGAGGTAGATTCCTTTTCCCCGGCAAACTCACTTCTAGAAAGCCCTCTCATGGGAATAACAGAAACGCAGAGAAAGCCCGGCAGATGCGTGCTTCCCTCAAGGCCGTGGGCAGCAGTGCAGTCTGGGGCAGCAGGTGTGAAATGGGCACAGCTCACCTGACAGGACAGCTCCTTCCCGGAGCTGCCCGAGCAGAGCCCCCCTCTGCCTCGTGCATGGCCAGCAGGGGCACGCAGCCTCCGGTGGCACCCAGGGCAGGCCACCCGCCCAGGGACGCTGGCACCTGGCCGCCGAGGTGGGTGGCAGGGTTTTCTCTGGTGGATCCCGAGTTGGAAGCTGGCACAGAAATTCAGGATGTCCTGTTACTAATCCAGCCCTGGCTGTCGGGGTCGATGGAGGCAGGGGTGTGTGTTAGCTCCTGGATCATTGCTGGACGCGAGGCTGGCTTCCTACAAGTGTGCCTCGCAGCCGCAGCCTCCTGGGCCTGTCACTGTGGGTCGTGGGCTGGCCTCCTGGGCTGACCTCAGTGCCCCCGCCATGGGGACTGGCTTGATAAAGCGTGGGGTGTTCGTCTTAAAGAATGTTACATGGCTGTCAACAATCGTGTTCTTGGTATCAAGCTGCACCCAGGAAGTACGAAACGCACGTGTGGGCACGTGAACACGGCTGAATGTGCCCAGAGAGCAGGACTTGACCCTGCAGGGTCAGCAGGGGCTATTCTCAGGGGTATTCTCTTCTTTATATTTTCTGAGCTGTCCACACTTTCCATTCTGAGCCTGTATTGCATTTACAACCCCCAAAACACGAGTGACATCCTCGGTTAAGAAAGGGGAAGAGGCCAGCGCTGGCCCCCGCCCCGTCCCCGGCCATGTTGCTGGAAATTATCCCAGGAGCACTGCTAGAAATAAGGCAGGCTGTGCTGAGAAGTGAGAGAGCCGGGAGGGGAAATGAAAGACCGGGGGGTTGCGGGGGGGCAGGGAGACGGGCCGCGCCTGCCCTGCCCTGCCCTGCCCTGCGCTGCCCCACAGGCCATCGTGACGCGGGAGGAGCTGCACGCACAGCACGCCCGCGGCCTGCAGGACAAGGACGCGCTGCGGAAGCAGGTCCGCGAGCTGAGCGAGACGGCGGATGAGCTGCAGCTGCAGCTGTTCCAGCGCGAGGGCCAGCTGCTGGCGGCCGAGGGCCGCCTCCGGTGGCAGCAGCTGGACACGTCCGTCCTGGTGGGCCTCCCCCGGGGCCTTTACGGTGTCCCTCAGTCAGAGAGAGCCATGGCTCTGCCGTGGTGGGGCTCTGGGGGTGCGGCCACATGGGGGCAGGTGTGTCCCTAGAGACTGCAGACCCCAGAGGAGGAGCCACCAAGGGGCCTGGGCCTGGCCTGGCTCGGCCACAGCTCTGCCGCGGGCTCTGGCAGGTCCCCAGACGTTCCTGAGCCCCTCCCTCCTCTGTAAGGTTGCCTGCCCACCGAGCCCTCGTGGAGGTGGGCTGCAGAGCTGGCACAGCTCATGGCCTGGCAGGGTGTGGGGGGGGAGGGGCGTTCTGGCCAGGGGCCAGGCCCAGCCATGGCCTGGAGGGTGGGCTGGCCTGGGACCCCACCCCGTGCCCTCGAGTGGCTCGGTCTCCCCACAGCCTGCTGACCGACCCCTCTTCTGTGACCACAGAGCTCCGACCTAGAGGACGGCTCACCGAGGAACTCCCAGGAGGTGAGTGTGACTCTGGGGGCGGGCCCAGGGCCAGCCTCACCCCGGACTCCCGGCCACAGCCTCTGCCGGACCACAGTCCCACTGGGTCCCTCAGAAGCTCTGGGAGCTCAGCCCACCACTGGCCATCCTCCCAATGCCCGGCTGGGCAGCGTAGGTCCCTCCCTGAGAAGCCAGCACAGGGGGTGACGGCAGTGGGGAGCGCAGCAGTGGGTGGGCAGCGCTGAGGGCCAGGTCCTGTCCTGGCAGACTGGTGGTCTAACCAGTTGCCCTTCTCTCTTGGGAAGCTCTCGCTCCCCCAGGACCTAGAGGAGGACGCCCAGCTCTCAGACAAAGGTGAGGAGGCGAGCGGCCTGTCCCGGAGGATCTGGCTAAGGCCTCCTTCTGGCCGCAAGCGGGCACCCGTCCCGACCTTCAGCACGCACACCGCATGACGCCGGCACCTGGGGACACGTGCCCCAGCCCTGGCCCATAGACCTCCACAGCCCCACTTCACAGATGGGCACACTGAGGCCCAGAGGGATAAGCAACCCCCAAGGTTCCCCAGCCAGCAAACAAGAGCCCCATTGGAACCCGGGGCCCAGGCTTGCAGGTCCACATCCCACCTCCCACCTTGAGAACACGCCTGGCCATCGCAGCCCACTCAGGCCCCGGGATTGCAGAGTGGAGGCACCCTGCCCTCCAGAGCAGGGAGCTGGGGAGGTAGCCCCTGCCAGGAAGTGGAACAGAGCAGGGAAGGAGAGACAGCTCAGGGTGACTGGGGCCTTAAGGTGGCAGGGGCGGGATACTTCTGCCTGCCTGGGCACAGGACAGCGAGTGGCAGGGAGATGGCCCAGCGGGGATGACAAGGGGCTGGCTCTGAAGGTGGGTGTCAGACGGGAGTTTGGGAGGATGGGTGGTGGTGGGGGCGCCACCGCAGAGGTAGTGTGTGAAGCCAGATGGACTTCCTCAGCGTCAGGCCTGACCCCAGCTTCTTGAGGGGCGCTGAAAGAGGAAGAGGCAGCAAATGGAGAAGTAAGTGGTTGGTCTCTCTGCTGCTGCCCAAAGACATGAACTTGAGGCCAGTGAGCCCCCACGTGGGGACAAGCGGGCAGGACCCGCAGGCAGTCAACAGGAGGGGAAGGCTGTTGGCCCAGCCGTCCTGGGAGCCCCAACCCAGGGCTGATGTGGCCCCTTGCGGGAGGTGGCGCAGGCTTCAGGGTCAGAGGCCAAGGAGGAGGGGAAGACCTGGGCCTGGGCCTTTCCCACCACAATGTCCCCAAGACCTGGAAGCCACAGTCGCCCATCATGGACAGTTTAGGGGAGCCAGCCCATCCGAGCACTTTTCCTGTGGGTCCTGAGCCCTGGGCCCATCCAGGCCCTGGCAGATGTGGAGGGAGCCCAGCAGCCTGCAGTGTTCTGCTCCCAACGCTGCAGTGCCCCAGCCCTGGCCCCTGCCCAGGGACGAGGCGCAGCATCTGCTCCGGGAGCCAGGAGTGGGAAGTGAGGTCTCTGAGCCCCAGTCCCCATGTCTATACAATGGGAATGCTTGTGGGGTCCAATAAGGACCCAGAAGGTGGCACAGGACTGGCCCGGGCTAGGGGGTAGAAGTGCTGGCGAGCGCGATCCTGGCAGGTAGGCAGGACCAAAAGGTACAACCTCCCTTGCAGGCGGCCCGGCCATCGGGGAGAGCCCTGAGCAGCCCTTTGTGGCTCTGCAGAAGGAGCGGCTCTCACTGGCCCCCAAGGTAAGGCTGCCTGGGGTCCCTGGAGCCCTGAGAGGCCCCTGGTGTGGGTCTCAGTGTGAATGATAACGAACGAACGGGGAGAGTGGTTCCTCTACCTGGACGCCTGGGGGGTGATCACAAGGTCTCTGCCCATGGGCTCCTGGGGTGTGGGTTTTGTAATGTGAAGCTGAGCCCCCTCCCTTCTTGGACGAAGCAGCCGGAGAGGGGGCAGGGAGCGGGCCCATCTTCTGGATGGGGCGCAGCGTTAACCTGAGTGGGAACTCGGCCTCACTGTCCACTGCACGGAGCCCGACGGCAAGGGGGCCGCACCGGACACTGTAGTAGAAGGAACACTGGCCTGGAGCCCATCCCTGCTGGCTGTGCGTGCGTCCCAGGCCAGTCCTGTCATCTGAGAGAAAGCGCGTCCCGCCCGCCCGGCCCCCCGTGCGCAGCCCCAGGGGCGGGGGTGGGGCCCACGCGGGCGCTGGCCGAAGCCTGAGCCTCGCCCCTCCAGCAGGACGCAGGCCTGAGCGGCGGGGAGCCCCCCGAGAAGGAGAAGGGGCGGCGGCGTCTCAAGGAGAGCTTCGAGAACTACCGGAGGTGGGCCCGCGTGGGCGGAGGGCGAGGGGGGCTAGGGAGCGGTGGCCCCGCGCACACCTGCGCCCACCTGCGCCGCCTGGGTCTCCCGCAGGAAGCGGGCCCTCAGGAAGATGCAGCACGGCGCGAGGCAGGGGGAGGTGGACTGGGAGAATACCACGGGCAGCGACAACACCGACACCGAGGGCTCCTAGCCGGCCCCTCCGTCCAGCCGCGCGTCGTGGGAGGAGGACACGGCGCCACCTGGGAGCTGCCTCGCTAGGCCGCCTCTTCCTTGGCGAGCACGGGCTTGTTCTATCTCTGTGTGATGCACACGCGTGCTGCAGTGTTAAAAATGCATCCCCGTCAATAAACGACCGCAGTGCGGACACCACCGCCTCCGACGGTCTTGCTGCCGCGCGCACCCTCCGACCCCGCGCCGGCCAGCGCGCAACGCCTGCCGCCAGGGGGTAGCCGAGCGCGGCCCGCCGCCGGGACGGAAGCCGAGCAGGGCCGCTTCCCTCGCGCGCCCGCTTCCGAGACGGCGGCGGTGTGGCCTCCGCGGGGCGGGGCGGGGCGGTCTCGGCTGCGCGGGGCGGCCGGCGGGCGGCATGGCGCGGGCGGCGCTGGGCCTCTTGCCGATACTGTTGAGCTGCGCGCGGCCCCGGGGGCCCGGCCTGAGGTGGCTGTGGGGGCGCGGGGCCCGCCTGGAGGCCGCGGAGAGAAGGCGGGCCTGGGGTTGGGGCTGGCGGCGCTTGAGCTCCGAGCCAGGACCCAGGCCGGCGCACTACCAGCTCGTCTACACCTGCAAGGTGGGCACGTGGCGGGGGCGGGGCCGGGGCCGGGCCCGGGCCCACACCTGCGCCTGGCGCAGGACGGCGCTGCGGGACGGCGAGGAAGTGTGAGGTTTTCCTCAGGGGGCGGGGCCTTCCAGGAGAGGGGTGGGACTATCACTCGGAGGGCGTATCCTTCTGGGAGTGGGCGGGGGGCATGCGGGGGTGTGGCTAACCCGGGGGGCGGGGCCTTCCAGGAGTGGTGGGGGTATCACGGGGGGGGAGGGGGCGGGTCCTTCTGGGAAGGGCGGGGCGGGAGCAGGGCTTCACCTCCTAGTCTCCACCAGGTCTGTGGGACCAGGTCCTCCAAGCACATCTCCAAGCTCGCCTATCACCAGGGTGTGGTCATTGTGACCTGCCCCGGCTGCCAGAACCACCACATCATCGCCGACAACCTGGGCTGGTTCTCGGACCTGTACGGGAAGAGGTGAGGCTACCCGGGAAGGGTTGGGGACAGAGGTCTATATTCCAGTGCTGGCCTGGTCCATCCTGAGTCTGGAGCCCCACCCAACCTCCCTGGGGCACCGTCCTTCTAGTGAGGATTACAGAGCCCACATCTCCAGCCCAGCTTCCTTATCAATACAAGAGATGTAGTTAAATTTGAAATTCAGGTAAAAACACAAGTAACTTTTTAGTAAAAGTATGCTCAAGATTGGAACATGTTTTGATTTGCTAAATCTTCCACCCTAGATCAGCTCCTTCAGCCTGGTTCACTGCCTGACTTCTGCCCTCACTGACAGCCTGTGGGGGCAGGTAGGACCTGGTTACATGTCAGGGCCGCAGGCCGACCCTAAAATGAGAGCGTCAGACTAGGCTGACTCTTAAAGGCAACAAATTGCCTTTCACCCTGTGGTTCCTTCACCCTACTAGGCGCTCCTTCCTGAGTGCCCGCTGTGGGCAGGGATCCTGGCATGCACTGAGTGCCCGCTGTGGGCAGGGATCCTGGCATGCACTGAGTGCCCGCTGTGGGCAGGGATCCTGGCATGCACTGAGTGCCCGCTGTGGGGCAGGGATCCTGGCATGCACTGAGTGCCCGCTGTGGGGCAGGGATCCTGGCATGCACTGAGTGCCCGCTGTGGGCAGGGATCCTGGCATGCAGCTTTCTTGTCCTCTGCTGACACCGGTTGGTTGACTGCACCAGACTTGGGGGTGTGTGTGAGGTGGAGTGGTCAGGGCCCTGGGGCTGCAGGGTCAGCCTCACCACCTTGTGGAGAGCAGTAGGGGGGCAGTGGTCAGGAGCCTCCTGGCTGCATGGCCCTGATGCCACACCAGCACAGGGACTCATGTGCTCGAGCCTGGCCTGGGGTGCCGTCGAGGGACCGAGATGCGGGACAGTTTCGCGGCCTGGAGTGTCACGGCACCTCCGTCTTTCTCAGGAATATTGAAGAAATCCTGGCGGCCAGAGGGGAGAAGGTACGCCGAGTGGCTGGCGAGGGGGCCCTGGAGCTCGTTTTAGAGGCTGCGGGGCCCCCCAAATCCACCACTGCTATGGAAGGGGCTGAGGACCAGGATCCCACCCCCCCTGGCAACAAAGAGGCCAGCTGACCTGCCTTTTGCCTCCAAGAAGGATGCTCCGGCCCTGAGCCACGCTGGACCTGCCTGTTCCTATCAATAAACCAACATCACTTGCAGATGCTGGGACCTGGGGCTCTCCTGTCATCCCTGGTTCTGGAGTCAGAACGACTCACAAGAAGCCCCTCCAGGCTGCAGGCCAGGGCCTCCTGTGGCTGCTGGCCATGTCTGCGTGGGAAGGGGCTGGATGTGGAGTCTGAGCCCCTCCTGGCTGTGGCTGTGTGGCCTTGGGCAGGTCACTTTGCCTCTCTGAGCCTTCGTCTTCCTGTCTGCAGATGAAGATGCTCACGGTGCCACCTCGTCAGGAGTATAAGTGGAAAGATGGGACTCAGGACGGGCACGGGGTGGCTCAGCCCCGCCACGCCCCCAAGTGTCAGGACCCCAATGTTTTTTTGGTTTTTTTTTGCTATGCCACATGGCATGTGGGATCTTAGTTCCCCAACCAGGGATCAAAACCGTGACCCCTGCTCTGGAAGCGGGGAGTCTTGACCACTGACGGTCAGGGAAGTCCCAGGGCCCCGATCTCGATGGCCCATTAGCCACTGTTCTTCCTGGGAGTGGGGTCAGCACCCCCAAGCCCCACCAGGGGTCCTGTCCCTCTGGCCAGACACAAGGAGGCCCCGTAGATCCTTCTGTGCCGCCTGCCGTCTCCTCGACGCCCCCTGGATGGCACTGGTGAGCCGGTGCCAACCTCAGCCCTGACCCTTGGCCACTGGCCAAGCCAAGTCAGCAGGCTGGGCTGCTCACCGTGGCTGCAGGCGGGCCAGGCGGAGTGGGAGCTGGGCTGCTGTGGGCCTGGCGGTGGGCCGCCTGCCCCACGGAGTGTCCCCCTCCCCGGGGCTGTGCAGTTTGTCTCCCAACCTCGTTTGCCCGCCTTCTCAGGATGTTCCTGTGTTTATGAAAGCATGTTCGTTTCCAGAAGTGTTCTGGGCTGTGTGACCTTCAACATCGATCACCGGCCACAATCTTGCAGGATCCCCGCAGGATCCGAGCTCCTGGCGGCCGCCCCCGTCAGCACGGGCCTCGGCACTGTTCTCCAGGCGCCGGCAGCTCGTGCTCCGACTCGAATACCCCCCGTGCTTCCCGTGGTGAACAACCCCCTATTATCCTGCCCAGAGCCTCCTGTGACATGTGCGGAGTCAGTCATGGTGGACGAGCCGCCCCGGGCCGTGCTCCTCCACGGAGGCCCCAAGGGACCCGCTGGCCTTGAAACGCCCGAGCAGCGGGGCCTCGCTGCCGCCACAGGGTTGGAACCGGGTGTGGGGCGGCCCAGGGAGCTGGCTGGACTCTGAGAACGCAGAGAGGGGACCCAGGAGGGCCACGCAGGCCAAGCCCTCCTTCCATGGGCGGTCTGACATGGCTGCTCGCCACATCTTTTTATTGTCTGCTTTCTGACGTTTTGACATCTGGGCCCTCTGACCCTGGAGAGCTGGTCAGTTCCTGGACACGGCAGGGCGAGTGCACCCAGGGCAGGTTCCAGACGACTCGGGCAGCCTCTCCACCCAGAGCCACTGAAGACCTCACCGGCCGAGCAGGCCTGCTGGCCCTGCCTCACTGTTTCTTCCCACAGAAACCACAGGAAAGGCTCCGGCCCATCCTCCCCTGCCTCCTGACCAACCCTGGTGCCTCCCGTGTGGCCCCCGCCCAGCCGCCGTCCATCTCCAGTCCCTTCTCAAGGTGCCCCTGGCTCTTTCCCCCCCCCCCCCCAACTATCTTCCATCCCTCGTTCCTGGCCAGGACCCTCTCCAAATGGTCAGATTAGGGTATCTGGGCCAACCTCCTGTGATCCTGTGACAGCACGTCCCCAAGTGTAGTCTTCTGAGGACAGCTTGATGGGCAACGCCGGGTTCCAGGACATCAAACAAACTTCTTCCTGCAGGACTTCTCAGAGCCTTTAGCATCCTGGCCTGGCTGTGAGCCGCTGAGAGGCACGGTGCCCCGCGATATTTCCCGGAGCACTGAGAACTCTCCGGGGTGGGGGGTTGGGGGCTCTACCCTTCCCCGTATGGGCCTTGTTCTCAACCACCCTCCCTTTTCTTTACCTCACCCAAGAGAGGCTGCAGGATGGCAGGCTCGGTAGGGAGGCCTGGGGTTCCCTGTGCCCCGCTGGGGGCTGCCCCACACTGCACTCCACGCCTTCCAGCAGCCTCGTCTCGGCACCAGAGCTCCTCTGGGAGGGGAACGTGGGGCTCAGGGCTGAGGTGTGGGCTTTGGAGGACACTTGGGCTCCCACGCCAGCACCCTCACCGGCTGTGTGTCCCTGGGATTGCCGCTTCACCCCTCTGAGCCCTAGCCCCGCCCCCCCAAGCCCGTGTGCGGGGTGGGCAGGAGCAGGGCCAGCCTGGGGCGGCAGGAGGGCACTGCTCCCCGGCCCCAGGCCCTGGCACGGTGCAGGCTTGCTCACCCAGGTGGAGAAGTCACTGGGCCTCTGAAAGCACCAGCACCTGTGCCAGCCCTCATCCTGACACGACAGCTTTCACTTGGCAGACTTTATTTTTTTCAGGAAAAACAGAAGAACAAATGTACCTCTTGGGTTGGAAAGGACCCCTTGACAACATGGCAAACACACGTGTGAGCAATAAATACGCACGTACATCCGGGCGTGTGGGGCGGCCAAGCAGGAGCCTGTGCTCTGACCTCTGACCCCACACCTGCCGCCCTACCCTCGCCCTCGGGGGGCCCCTCCGCCCAGAGTGCCCCGGGCTGTACTGTACCGAGGGGCGGGGGCCCGGCGGCCTCCCCAAGCTCAGAGGGTGGGACCTGGGGCTGGGTGAGGCGCCACGCAAGAGGGGGGCAGCCTGGGGGCCGTGGGGCTGCGGCTCGACCCAGGGACGCTCCAGGAGAGCTGGAGATGGGCCCTACAGGAGGCGGGCTGAGGGGGGGGGTCTGGGCCAGGGCGCCGGCCACGGTCTCCCCAGAGGCCTGTCTCCTGCCCAATCCCGAGGGCCGACTCACCCCACGGGAGAAGGCGTGATGTCATCTCGCCCCACGGTGGGGTTGAGGGCTGGGTGCTCACCACGGCCACAGAGCTGGAGCCCTCGCACCTGCCGCCCACCCTGGCATGGTCAGGGTGCAGACCCCTACCAGCTGGTGTTCCCAGAACCGGGCCGGCTCAGTTCCTGGGCTCCTGGGCTTGGAGCTGAGGAATGTGCAGCTCACCCCCTTCCCTCCCCGCCCTGCCGGCTCAGGAGCACGTGCCTGGTGGGGCTGGGGACCCCACGTAGGAGCCACCGCCTCCACTGCCTGGCAGGCTACAGGCTTCCTGGGACTGGCCTCCTCCTTCAGGCCGGGTAGGAGGGAGGGGAGAGGGGCTGGGAGGGGCTGGGAGGGGCTGGGAGGGGGCCCTCCCCAGGGGTGAGGCCGGCTTCAGGAGGACAGAAACGCCCATGCCGCTGGTGGCCCCAGAGAAGAGGTTTCAGAGACACCTTTGGGGGTTGGGGGTCAGCGGGGTTTTCACATTTGGCCGGGCGGGGGGCAGGGCGGGAGCGTGGAGGTCTGGACAGCACCGGGCTTTGGGGCCGACATGCTGAAGGCCCGGCCTGGGGCAGGGGCGGAGCGGGGCGGGGCAGGCCTGCAGGAAGCTGCGTACCGAGAGGGGCCGGCGCAGGACAGGAGTGGGCCCTGGCCCGAGCCTGCTGCCCTGGGGAGGGGACGCCACGGGGGCCGCGTGCCCAGCGTCCGGCTCAGTGAGATGGGCTGGGTGGCTCAGAGCCTGCCCTCAGCTGTGGCCTCGGGAGGATTTGGCTTCACGGGGGGTGCTGTGGGCATCCTGGACATTTGTGAGCTCCCCCGGGCCGCCGCCCCGGTCCAGGAGCGGGGGTGGGGCGGGCCCGGCTGCGGGTGCGAGGCCTTAGCTGGCGCCGGGCTGGCACTGCTGCCGGGGCTCGGGGGCTCCGCCCACCTCCTGCTCTGGGCTCCCAGCGAGGTCCACCCGCTGCTCGTCCATCCGCTTGGCCTGGACCCTCTGGATGAGGCTGAAGAAGTCCTCGTCGGGCATGGTGGGGCCCCGGGGCAGCACGTCCGGTGGCGGGCAGCGCTGGTCGTCGATCCTGGAGGACTGGGCAGACATGGACACGCGGGTCGGCGGCCTCGCTTCCCCAGGCCTTGGAGGGCCCAGCCCAGCGCCTGGGCCCGGCGCTCAGAGGCCCCAGGGACAACTCGGCAGCAGTGCCAACTCAGGAGGGCCTCCCTGGGAATCAGCTCCAGGGCACGGCTGGGAGCCCTGACCCCGAGAACGGCCTACCCAGCGGGCGAGCTGCTGTGGGAGCCCCCCAGGCCTGCTCTTAAGGCCGCCAGACCGTGGTGTGTTCACGAGCCCCAGGGACAGGACGGGGCTGCAGCTCCCGGAGCTGGTGGTGCCGAGCCCCCCAGGGCCCCCTCGGGTCAGGGGGCCGGGAGCCGGCATAGCCTGTGGGGCGCGTGCGTGTGGGCGGGGGTTCTCGTAGGGGCTGCTTTTGAGGCTCCTTGGACTCGCCCAGAGCTGCACTTTCCTCTCCTCCGTGGGAAGGAATGTCACATCTGGAAACCTTCCAGCTTCCTGCATCGGGGGGGGGGGGGGGGGGCTATGAGGCTGTCCCCTCCCCAGCCATTTCACTGAGGGTTTCCTGACCCTGAAACTCCACCTGCAGTTCTGCCCCGCCCAGACTGGTGGGTGGCTGCAGCCCATGGTGTCGACGAGACCCCTCCTGCCCTCTGCACTCTGGGGGTGCCGCCTGGCTCTCGGTTTTCTCCATCCAAATGTGGAAGGCTGGAGGAATACCCGGTGGCGCGCCCGGCTCCAGGCTCCTGCACTGTAGGGAGGGGCCGGCCTGAGGATGTCCTGGGGTGACCTACTCAGGGGGCCCAGGAGGAGGCCCATGGGCCTGAGCACCCACGGGCACTCAGAGACACTGGCTGAGCCAGCCTGGGGTCCAGTCCCGCATGACGCACCCTGAGACGGAGGGCCCAGGCCCTGCGTGGAGCCTCCCGGGGAGGGGCCCTGAGCTGACCGGGGCCGAAGGGCCTGGGGGGCAGGCGGGAGGAGGGTGGCGGAGCCCACCTGGCACTTGATAAGCATGTTGAAGAACTCG